GGGGCGGGGCCGAGGCTGAGTGACAGCACTGTGGGTGGGGCGGGGCCGAGGCTGAGTGACAGCGCGAGTGCGCCGGAGGCCGGCCGGGGCTGCACGTGTGCGGAGGGGCGGGGCGGGGCGAGGCCGAGGCTGAGTGACAGCACTGTGGGCGGGGCGGGGCCGAGGCTGAGTGACAGCATCGTGGGCGGGGCGGGGCCGAGGCTGAGTGACAGCACTGTGGGCGGGTGACAACACAGTGCGCCGGGGGCCGGCCTGGGACTGCACACGTGCGGAGGGGCGGGGCGGGGCCGAGGCTGAGTGACAGCACTGTGGGCGGGGCGGGGCGGGGCCGAGGCTGAGTGACAGGGGCCGGCCCGGGACTGCACACGTGCGGAGGGGCAGGGCGGGGCCGAGTGACAGCCCGCATATGGCGGGGCGGGCGTGGTGCGGTCTTAGGCTGGGGGGGGCGCCCCAAGGGCCCGAGGTGTCCGAACTCCTGATTCTCTGACTGTAGGAACCCTGCCCAGCCGGCCAGTGGGTGCGGGACGTCCGCCCGCGCGGGCTCTGCTCCCCCCCGGCCTGCCCATCCGTCTCTGGCCCGCCCCCTCCAGGGCCCCCTCTCTTTGACTCGCGGTCCTTCCACGGTCGCCCCGAGGCCTCCGGACCCCCGATCCAGCCCCAGCGCTTCCTCTCCGTGGCGCCTCACCCCGTTCACAAGCCCCCGCCTCCCGCCGATCTGTCAGCCGTCCTGGGGACCTGGGGGGTCCCCTCGCTGCTGCACCGGGTCGGGACCCAGAGGCGGGCAGTGAGCAGCTGGCACGGGGTGGCGGCCGCGGGCGAGCCAGGCCCCGGGACCCCGCCCTGCCGGGGGCTGTCCTGGGGACCCTCGCCGTGTAGGATGCGGCGTCTCTGCTGCCGTCAGGTGGTGGGGCTGGGCAGGTGCGGGCGCCATCTGCGCCTGGCCTGCCTGAGGGAAGGCCAGGCTGCTTCCCGGCAGGACAGGGCCCGCACACAGGCAGGAGGGCGGCAGCCCCAGGCCCTGCCCCCGGGGGGCTCCTGCCCCCCTTACAGACCCCAGGAGCTGCAGCGGGGCTCGCGGAGGCCGTGGCTTCTGCCTCAGAAATAAAGATGTAGGATAAGCAATGCCCTGCTTGTGGCGCTCGGGGGACCCCTTCCCACCTCCAACCACCCTTGGACTTGCTTTAGACATTCGGGACAGGACCAGGTCAAGCTCTTCCTTGGAGGGGTCTCTATGTTCTGGGAGCAGGGAGGGTCTGGGCAGACTCCCGGGAAGTGGGAGAAGGGCAGCCCCCAGGCTGGACCCAGGGGAGCAGGCCCTGGGCAGCGCGCTCTTCCTGCGGCCTGGTTCCTCTTGCTGGACACGGGCATAGGAAGGGAGCGTGGGGCTCCATGCGTGGAGGTCCTGTCCAGGGATCCGTCGCAGGCAGTGGGTGGTCACCCCCAGTTTTCTTTTCCAGAGATGTAGGGACACCAACCATCCCTCCACACGGCAAGCTTCTGTCTCTGACTGCCACGCTGGGCAGCGTGGACCGTCCAGCACCACCGCCGTCAGGGCTGGGGAGGTGGGGGGGAGCAGGCGTGTGTCTGCTGGGGTGTGCCCCTGTGCCCGGGGGGCCTGTCGAGGGCAGGGCAGGCAGGGAGGACCCTGCTGAGGGTCTGGGGGGGTTCTGAGCCCCTGGGTCCCGTGGGTTGCCTGGCAGAGCAGTGTCCCCTTCTCAGTTCTGCCAAATTATGCACTGCCTGAGCTGCCTTGGGGTGGGAGGAGGGGCACGGGGAGGGGGGAGGGGGTCCCACCAGGGCTCCTAGGTTTTGAGGAACTTTTAACTTTCTCCTTGACCAAATGAGGGCTGGTGGATGGAGTGTCTCGTCTCCAACTACCGTCTGCCCCCTGGTGGCAGTGGGGCCTCACTGCAGGAGACCAAGTGGGCCCCACTGGGAGGGGTGGTGCCCGTTTATACAGAAAACTAGGTCACCCCACAAACACAGAAGTCATTTGTTAAGTCTGTTTTAAAAGTAGGGACTGGTGTGTCTGTAACCACAGCTACTTGGGAGGCTAAAGCAGGAGAATCACAAGTTCAAGGCCGGCCCGCCCAACTTAGACCCCAGTCAAAATGAAGTATAAAAAGGGGCTGGAAGCCAGGCAGTGGTGGCTCACGCCTGCCGTCCCAGCTACCCGGGAGGCTGAGATCTGAGATCGTGGCTCACAGCCAGCCTGGGCAGGAAAACCTGTGAGACTCTTATCTCCAATTAACCACCATAACACTGGAAGTGGTGCCGTGGCTCACAGTGGTAGAGTGCTACCTTGAACAGAAAAGCTCAGGGACAGCACCCAGGCCCCAAGTTCAAGCCCCACAATTGACAAAGATAAAAATAAAAATAAAAAATAAAGGGAGGGTTGCTGGAAATAGTGCAGTGGGAGAGTGTATGCCTAACCTCCAGGAGTCCTTGGCTCGATCCTCAGTGCCACCAAACAGACCACAATAGCAGCAACCACCCAAAAGAACACAGAAGACGGGCCCTGGGTGAGGAGGCACTGCCCCGGGAAAGCGCCGCTGGCCGCTCAGGACCTAGCATCTTGAGGACCTTGAGCCAGTTTTCCTGGAACCTGGGAGCCAGCTAGGGTTCTATATAAGATTTGGGGCATGATCCCCAGGCTGCTCCAGGGTTCCAAGCCTCTGCCAGCTGGAGGAGGGCTTTTCATGCCTGGCGGCCCTGATGTGAGCCTATGGGAACAGAGGACCCTGCCAGACACCAGCCCGAGCGAGGCCCAGCCAGGACAGGCTCCCTGGGTGATACCCGGCCCTTCAGCCCTGCCACTCGGGGTGTGCTAGCCCGTGGCTCTGCGGGAGCACAGATGCCCGGTGGTTCCTGCCACTCCAGCCAGGAGCAGCAGGGGGCAGTGTGGCTCCAGGGAAATGGAGAAGCGGAGGGGGAGGAGACCGGCCTGGGCAGGAGCCTTCCAGGCACAGCTGGGCAGGAAGGTGCGCTCTTCGCCAATCCTTGTCCACACTTGGCTCCCAAACACAGACACTCACCCTGCTCGGTGGCAGCGGCACCCCGCCTTGCTGCCTCGCACCGCCTCCACTTCCAGCCCTCCTTCTGGCTGCAGGAAAGGCCCAGAGACTCTTATCTCCAATGAAGCACCAGAAAAACAGAAGTGGCGCTGTGGCTCCAGTGGTAGAGCGCTCGCCTTGAGCGGAAATGCTGAGGGACAGCGCCCAGGCCCCGAGTTCAAGCCCCACGACTGACAGAACAAAACAAGCCAAAAAACAACAACAAAAAATTACGGTCACACCCCTCACCAAGACACAGGGTGCACCACAGCAGCTGCAGCCGGTGAGCTGGGCCGGTCCCATGTGGCCGGGGCGTGTTTGGGTAACCCCCTGAAATGCAGGTGGCACACAGGTGTTTCCTCTGCGGGCCTGGGCCATGGAGGCGGGGCTGTCCCATCCCCACGAGTCCCCGCGGCCCCCCACACCATCTGCACGAGCCGGTGCCCTGCGGGCCCGCGGCCCCACACAGGTTTCCTGTCCCTCAAACACCCCTTTCTCCACACGTCTCCTCTGCCACAGGGAGGACAGCTAAGGGGGGCACCCCGGGTCCTGGGGAGGGGCACCCTGAAGCCCTAAGGCTCAAGGGCCCTGGCAGCCTCTCCCAGTGCTGAGGGGGAGCAGGACAGGGTGGGGTGCCGAGGGCCAGAGGCACAGGACAAGGGGGCACAGGGCAGGGGGCACAGGGCAGGGGGCAGAGG